GGATGAGGGAAGCACACAAAGGTTGTTTACAGAATGAAATAGGGTGGCCAGACTGCCCAGCGACAAGGGGAGTTCTGAGTACAGTAGGGGTCCAGAAAGCTGACACTGAGCCAGGGAAAGACCATTTCAGGAAAAGCCTCCCAAGAGGCCTAACTGTGGCTCCTTGGATGAACAGCAAGGAGGCCAAACGCATGTGAATTGAAGACATCGGGGAAGAAGGGTAGGGGAGGGTGTTTGAGACAGAAGACAGGGACTGGCCGGCCAGGTAGTGCCTGGTAGTTATTATAAGACCTTTTAGGTTTTACTTTCAGGGACATGAGAAGACACTGTTGTGTTGTAAACAGATCAGTGTTATGACCTGTCACATCCTTACCCCCCAAAATAAAATCACTGTGACAAATCTGTGAGAGAGCCGATAAGTATAGTTAGAAGTTGGAAAATGTGCAATGAGGTTACAGGTGTAGAGGCTCCGTGCATGGTGGCTGGGGAGGAGCTGGACAGTGGTCAGTATTTGGACTACAGATCCAGCTGTGTTTTCTGAGGACACAAGGTATGGGGGAAGGAGGGCAGTCAGGGATAATAGACTCTTTGTAATCCTTTTCATATAATGAGGAGAAACGTTTTTTTAATATGAATTTTTTTGTGTGTTTTTTTTTTATTGATTGGTCTTTTAGAGACCAGGGGAGAGAGAGAGAGAAACACCGATGTGAGAGAGAAACATCGATCTGCTGCCTCCTGCTGGGCATGTGCCCTGACTGGGAATCGAACCAGGACCTCTCAGTCCGTGGGATGACTGACACTCAATCCACTGAACCACACCGGCAGGCTAGAGAAACATTTTAGCTATTTCATTACACAGAAATTTACAGGTTTAATTGTGGAATAAATTCTTTAAAAAGTATCAAAAATAGTTCCTTTTTCTTTTACAAAAGCGAATAGTTCAAATTTATTGATCATTTGGAGTAATCTCCAGAATCTACGAGCAGACATTTTGTAAAATCCAACACATGTAATTTATTCCTTTCAAAAGTGGATGATGTAATAGGAAAATACCTGTTTGTTTGTTTTTTTCTATTTTTTTTTTTTCCTGAGTAAAAATTGTGTCATGACAAAATTATCCTGAAGAAGTTTGCTTGGAAATATTTTTGTTGTTGTCATGTGATTTTGAAAACCATGTAAATGTTTCCTCTGTAAAATGTGTTCTATCTGCACACTTGAAAACTTTTAAACAGGTTTTTTCTAAAACTTAAACATTTCCAAGTCAACTGTGTTCAATGTACTTTCTTTCCTTCATCTTGAGCTGCATGTCTGTCAGTTCTGATATGCTTTCAGTTCTGATAAACTGAGTAAAACACCAAATCATAGACATGTTGAAACACAAAATGTCTAAACATGTTGGAGACCACTGAGCAGACATTTTAAAAATTCTGAAGTTGTTTTGAAAATCGATTGATATTTTTCTCTCGCAAACACATGTATCTTACTTGATTTGAAAGCAATTAATCACAGATTGCTTTTGAACCTCCTGGAACATTTTTTTATGCATTAACTTCAAAAAATAGTGTCTGATGCACTGGCCGGTTTTGCTCAGTGGTTAGAGAGTCGGCCCGCGGACTAAAATGTCACAGATTCGATTCCAGTCAAGGGCATGTACCTCAGTTGCGGTTGTTCCTGGGCCTGGTCGGGGTCGTGTGAGAGGCAACCAATTGATGTGTCTCTCTCACATCGCCGTTTCTCTCTCTCTGTCTTCCCCTCCCTCCCACACTATCTGAACATAAATGGAAAAATATCCTTAGGTCAGTATTACAAAAAAAAAAAAGTATCTGTCTTCCCATTTATAAAAATATTCATACTTTAAGGCTCAATTAAAGCATTATTTCTATCCTTATCCCTCATCCTGTATTATACATCTTCCTCTGCTATTTCATGGCATTTTGTCCTTATTTTTATTTTGTGACATGCATCAAGGTATTTTAAGTTCTTCTTTCACTCTCCAGCTATGAATTTGCCAAGGACAAAGACTGTGCTTATTTACTTTCTCTTTTAGGTTTCAATTTTATCACATGCTAAGTAATGTTATTACATCTTGAACTCTGAAACACTGTGATGCTAACTTATAAAAATATCTCTAGTTCAATTAGTTTATCTGATAGTAGTAGTAGTATTTCCATAGTAATTATTTACCAGGCACACCCTAGGCAGTTTATATTTACTAACTCACCCATTATTCACAATGGCCTTTTATAATATTTAATTTTGTTTTTGTTTTTTAATTTATTTTTAGAGGGAGAGGAAAAGAGAGATAGAAACATTGATGACAGAGAACATAGATTGGCCCGCCTCCTGCATGCCCCCCACTGGGGATTTGGCCCACAACCTGGGCCTGTGCTCTGACTGGGAATCAAACCGGCAACCTCTTGGTGCATGGGTCAATGCTCAACCACTGAGCCACACTGGCTGGGTTACAGTGAACTTTTGAAGTTGCTGTCATTACTGTCTTCTTTGTATTGGAGAGGAAAAAGAGCCACAGAAAAGTTTAGTAACTTCCTAGAGTATCATTATTATTATTATTATTATTATTATTTTATATTTAAGTAAACACACTAAGATTTGAAGTCCACTTTGAAGTGCATGCTCATAAGAAGGTGTATGTTACCTCTCAGTGATTCTCCACCAGGACTGTACTGCTCATACAGATGATACTGCATATATTTCAGCCCTTAAATTTCTTTCCATCTTCCAAAATAGAGAGACAGAGAGAAAAAAAGAGTATTTCTTATACATGAAGCATAAATAGGAGGGCAACATGTACATGCATTGTCAGGAATTAAACTGTCAACTAGCAGACATGGTTTATTACGTGCAGAGAGGTTCCCACGTTGGAAAGAAACACAGACTATCAAATACCCCAGCCCTACTGATCACTGGCTAGATGACTCCTGGGAAGGCACAGTCTCCGTTTTCTTATCCTGTTTTATGCGGATATTAATATAGCCGATGGATTGTGATATGCCCATATGAGACAGTGCTTATGAAGGGGCCTGGTGATATAATAGAAAAGAACCTATGAGTGCTGGACATTTTACTGAAATTGTTCTCGAATAGTTAAAGGTATTTAAAGATCTTTGCTCTTTTTATAACTGTTTCTGAACAATAGAATAAAAATGAGATCTTTATTATTGTTGCTTTTTTGTTTGTATTGAACTATTTTATCTATAACATTTTAAAGATCTAAAGATTATTCCATTTTAAGCTGCATGCAAAATAGGCTGGCCATTATAATCATACATAGATCACGTTTAACATGTTAAGGGGAAAATGGAAAAAAAATCAAAGAAAATCTTATTGCTCTGTTATTAGTGTAATAATTAATAATGGCTTCTTTTTTGGTATCTGTGCATTGAAATAATCGATTAGTATATGAAGAATTTAGATGAAACATCTGGTGTGCATTTGAGTACAATTAACAAAATACCAGACTAGTCCTTAAGCAATAAAGCTATTTAATTATTTCAAGTAACATAAATTCTAGGGATAATTATTCTAGGTTTGTGCAGCTACTCAAGGTTATAATCAAGAATTCAGTCTCCTTTTATTTTTCTCCGACTGAATCCTCAAAGTGTTGACTTTTCCATCATAAGTTTATTGTTTTGTGGCCTCAAAGTGGCTTTGGAAATTGAGACTTAATATTCTCAAATGACAACATTCAAAACAGGGAGAAAGAGAAAGTGTGGTGCAAGGAAGGCTCCTCTTGTCTTTGTCTCTTTTGATGGAAATGCAATGTTATTCTCAGAAATCACTTATCACATCATCTTTACACTCTATCAACCAGAACATGCCCTGTGACCACCCTTAGCCTCTGGAGAGGCTGGGGAGCTTAGTATTTGTCAAAGGGCAATGAAATTAGTTATTGGCTAAATCTCTGGTGCTCATCTTCCCTGAAAACATTGATGCCTACCTAATACAAAACAATGTCAGGGTTCTATTAGCAAGGAAGAAAGGGACGAGGACAGACACAGAAATGCTTACATAGGTGTTTTCAGAAATCTCATAATTACTTCAGTAATCCAAAAATACAGATAAAACACAAGCAAGGTTTCAGAAAAAAAGAAGTTTTTGTAAGACTAAATTGCCAAAATGTTAGTTAAATATGAATCTCCATATGTTCAATCACAATAGTAGTTTCCCTTTAAACCCGCTGAGCAAAGAATTACATTATGAACTAGGACTTGGGGAATTCTCTAAGGATATTCAACAGAGCTTTGAAAATAAATGCTTTCAATATTGAATAAAAGTTGTTTTATTGAATATAATTTGAAAATTTACACATGCAACTACTACATGAAATTACTTTAAGAAGGAGTTAGCTTGAAATATAAATTGCTTGAAATTAAGGTGAGTGAAATAATTGCTTGGAAGCAATTTGTTTTCTGGAAGTTTTATTTTAAGGAAATGCTAAATATTATAAATATTAGCAGAAAAACACATTTACCATATATGTGTGGTACAAAAGCATTGCCTTTCCTTGTTTCTGTGATTTTAGATTTCTCATTAGGGAAACAAATCAGGTAATTGGTTACTGGAGTCACAACCATATATCATATTAATGGCTTCTTAACATTATAGGTGGTTAAATCCCATAACCAGTGTTGGGGCGGAAAAACTTAATAGTATAAAATGAATTCTCACCCGTATTCAACAATTGATTAAAATGCACATTTGAATCACTTATATTTTGAGTTTTTAAATAGCTTCTCCATGTCACACATTTGTATAGGTCATGATTGAACATAAGACTTAAATGGTGCAAAAACATGTTTGAATCAAGTATCACATTTCCAAATGAATCAAGTAAGAGTTTAGAAAATTAGATCATTGACAACATGAATGTTGAATCTGACATCTAAACTCTTGAATCCTTCCATAATTTCTGGCCTAGTTTTAAACTAATGTTTCAGTCTGTAAACATTTTTTTTTTTCCCAACTCCTATTTATTACAGGCAGTAAGTACAGACCCTGTCCCAGTAAAATTACACTATGACAAATCTCATGACCAGGTCTGGGTGCTAAGCTGGGGTACCATGGAAAAGACTTCTCCAACACTGCAGGTAAGTCGATGTCAGTATATTGGACCAAATAATGTTCTTTAAACCTTTAGCTATCTCATTGGATATGTCTAACCATTTAATAATGGCATTCTTCCACCTGAGCACTGTACTTTAATCACACCTAGATCTGCACAGAAGAAGGTAAAAGAGAAAGTTGATTTTTCAGTGCCTTTTTTGAATTGGAAAATATTGCACGTCATATTTATCAAAGGTTGGATTTATAGGCTAGAAGAATAACCTGTGATGACAAAGCTGATGCTGTTAACAACAACAATAGAAAAGAGTCAAAATTTACCTTTCAACAGTCTCCTGCTTCCCTGCACATTGCATAAGAATTTTTAAATTTCCACTTCTCTTTTTAAAATAGGGCATATAGGGTGGGCCACATGAGGCAGAGACCAGGGGAAGCAGACAAATCTCCATTTTTCTCCCAACAAATAGTCTTTTGTTACCAGAGCACAGGCTCTTTTCTGACTGGGAAATACGTGGCGCCACGTGTGGCACCTGCTGCTGTCTCGAAGTTGTTTAGATGAGAACTTGACAGATGCAGAGAAAATATCGAATGTATTTTGACAATGACTCTATGGCATGTTCTTTAGATTTGGGGAGTTATAAGTTTAAGATGAAACAGAGAGCAGATGGGAAGGAATGTTTGGCTCTGGAAGTGCAATTTATCTAGTTCTCCAACTGCCTTGTGGTCAGAGCCCTGCCTGGTACATTCTCTTCTTACAAAGTCTTAAGTCATTAATCTTTGGCCAATTTTCAGTAAGTCTGTTGAATGCAATGTTACTTTAATTGGTTGTCAGTACCAGTACTTTTAATGTTTCTGAACTATTTACAGTATTACAATATTTAACTTAAAAAGAACAGGTCTCTTGAAATGAAATATTTTTAAGCAACTATCAGAATTATGCTTTATTTAATATTTTACTAGAATATGTCATTTGAAACATCTAAAATATGATGCAGTATTTCAGTTCTCTATTGTTGCAAATCAAACCACTTCAACACTTGAGGTCTTCAACAACATTAGAAGATGACTTACCACTCACAGATTCTGTGGCTTGGCCATCTGGGCATTTCCACGAGCATGATCAGGGAGCACTCACGGGGCTGCAGTCATTTGTAACAAGAGCCACAAGGTCCAGAATGTGGACCTGTCATGAGGTGGGAGTGCTTAACCAAGTGCTATGTGTCACTTGCATGTGCTGACTAGTCCGTTAGACGGGCATCTTCACAGCATGGAGATACCAGCTTACAGGACAGTGGACGTCACAAAGCCAGTTCGAATCTGTAACTTCCACACAGCCTATTGATGGAGTCAAGTTGCACCGCCTGCCTAGATTCAAGAGGATGGAGTAACAGCCAATCTCTTGATGGAAAGAGCACAGTCTTCACTGTGGACAGCTGTTAGAATCATCTACCACAATATGTTCATAGGCTCTAATTATTTGGTATTTTGTATTTAAATGTAATCTTGATAGGATAAATAGAACAGGTATGATTTAAAAATAAACTTTAGGCAAATATCTTTAATACCACATAGAAAAGGGGGGAAAGTCTTTGTACAGGTGTTAAGTAACTTTCCACACATTATCCTACCATCTAAAAATGGGTTCTTTTTTTTCTAAATTAAAAAAAAAGATGCTAATATGATTTAGTTTATTTTTAAAATATTTTCTGAGTGGGAGTAAAAAGTAAGTGTCACACTTGAAAATATAAAATAAATTTAGGAATTGAGAAGTACTCTTAAAATAATATATACAAGAAGACTTATCTCCATAAAGTGTGTGTGTGTATACGCATATGTATATATATGTAGATGATGGATGATGATAGATAGAAGATAGATAGATAGATAGATAGATAGATAGATAGATACATAGATAGATACATAGATAGATAATCGATGATAGATGGCAGACAGACAGAAATGCAGGGTCTGTGAATCAGAGAACAAACCATTTCTTATCCATGGAGCATATTAGTGTCTATTCTCAGCTGTACTATAGGAAAAGACCCTGACAATATGTCTCAAGTTTTTTAAGGCTGCTAGATCTGACTCTGCAAAAATGTCAAAATATTCATGGATAATTGTCTCCCAACAGTTCTAACAAGAAACATCCCCAAAGAAAATGGGATTTTAGATTTGTTTGAAAATGGGAACTCTTTTTCTTCTGGAGAATTTAAATTCACCAAACCAAAAGCATGGGCAATCTCTCAGTTTTGCTAGAAAGTCTCTGTGCCACAATGTTCAAAAGTTAGACTGGAAAGAGAGATTAAAGCTGGAATCTAAAGGCTAGGAAGTAACTTTTTGCCCTAATGAAGTATATCTTATAATGGTACCCAAAGACCCTTGAAGGAGCATAAGCATTTTATCAAGGATCCTAAAACCCTACTTATATTCCTTCTTTGTGTTTTCCTTTTGATATAAGTAAATCTTTAAATCTTTGCCAATTATGAAAACAAAATATATTATTTTCTGTGATATTTATAATTAATAAAAACCAATGAACTGTAATTTTAGGTATATAAGACAGTGATTTTTTCCAGTCAGTGTTCTCAAATTAATTCTGAAAGATTTATCATAGCTATCTTTTTTTTTTCTTTTTAAAAGACATCATGTCTGAGAAAAATTTAAGAAATGCTATTCTAAAAATCATGAATCTCTCCTCTGCACACTTTTATAATTTTTATGTAATACATTTTCAATATCACAACCATTAGAGAAGAAAGCATCCCCAGTAAAGAACTTAGAGTAAAGTCCTTAGATTTTGCTATTGGTCAGCACATAGGCCATGGCCAGATGGGGTGACATTGGGAGGTGGTGGCTCTGAGCCTGTGGAAGGCATCACACGTAGGGAGACCAGTGGCAGGATGCCACTAAGAATGAGCCAGGGGCTGTTGAAAGATGGGGCCTATTGATTAATGTGCATCCGATCAATCTGTGTGTTCTTGCATTTAGTTGTCTCGGTCCTGAACCTGGCAATCCATCACTTCCTGCTCAATTCCAGCAGTGAGAAGGATCCAGAATCATCAGGGAACAAAGTCCTGGTAGAGGGGAACTAGGGAAGTGGTACTGTGATTTTTACAACCTAGGACTATGCCAAGCACATAAATGATGCTCAGTTAAGATGCTGTCAGTGGCATGAAATATTTTTGCATTAGTGAGTTTGGGAAGGTTGGGATGCAATGCACACATTATAGTGTTGTTTGAATATTAAATTCTGTGATGCCTGGTAACTACTTAGATCACATATTGATATATAGCAAGTTCTCAGTAAATATTATTATCGCTGCCTTCAGACTAAGTATTAATTTCAAATACAAGTACATGCATTTTGAGAGTTATACACTTCTATATAATCCAAAGGGAAAAAAATGTGTAGAGTTCATTCCCTGTTACTCTGCTGATTTTTATTAAAATTATACAGGCATTATTACGACTGGCTACAATCCAGTGCTATCTTTCTCACCAATATTCTTTAATAAAATTGGTATAGTGTCCTTAGGCTGTTGTCAAATACTTTGGTTCTTTCTTCCTCTGGCACATGCTGAGCTCCTCTTGCATAAGTAGAGCCACGTGATTGGTTCTGGCAAATGGGTGTGCTGTGGATGGAAACATTCAAGGTAGTCAGCTGCTCCCTCTGCGTGGATCGCTGAGTGGAGAGTAGGTATCCTGCCATTCGCTCAGGGAAAGTAGTACGTGTACAACGAAGTCTTTATTTCATAAACCACTAAGACTGAAAGGTTTGTTTCCTGGTTGTTGTTGTTGTTGTTGCTGTTTAACTATAACATAAGTCTATCTTGACTTATAATGATTAGTCTATTTTTGCTGAACATGGATATTTTCAGTGGAACCCAATGAAAATATACTCACTTGAAAGAAAATTAACCTTTCAGGGAAAAAAAAAAAAAGACCCCTAAAAATAAGAATGCTATTTTCTTCTGTCATAAAAACCAAAGGAAGAGACTCAGTTTGGAAGGAGGGAAGTCTGTTTGACTTAGATATTCAGTCAATACTTTAGGAAGTTTAATTTGGGGGCCACATGTAAAAAGAATTTGAAGAGGGGACAAGAAAGTGCTTTAAAATGCTAACAGAATAATGGTTGGGCAATAGAGACAATAGAAAAACACGTGGAGGTGTGAGACACTGATAGAATTTGGTGCATAATAGGATATGAGTAATAAAAGTTTAAGTGTAGTCATCTTTTCTTTAATTGACTATCAGCGTTTTAAAAACCAATGAATGATGAATGGTTGGAAAGAAGAAACCTCTAATTAAAACGTACTTAAATCTGTTATTTTCAATTTATAGGAGGAAAACGTCTTAAAATAATATTTTATATGTTCTAGAATTTCGAAGACCTACAATATCCCTTATGATTTATTTTGAAGTTTTCAGTGCTGTGCTACCAGCTTAGTTCCACAGGAGAGGCAGTATTTGTTCATCAATTACACCTCAACAAAGCTGTGTGGGAGGAAAAAAAGAAAACAAGAAAAAAGAAAGAAAGCTGACATCTTATTTACATATGCATGCTTGCTTTTATTTTTCTCATTAGAGCAAAGTTAACATTTTTATAACAGAGTTGTTGTGTATATTTATTTTACATTTTAAGCAGGATTGTTCAAGACAAATCATTTGCTACTTTTTGATTTCTTTGTAGAAACAGAAGTTTCTACTGTGAAAGTAAGCAATTCCAGAATTCCAATTTGCTTAATATGGTACTAATTTAGAGGTGGCAGCAAAGAGTCCATGCCAGAGATTGTTTTTTTCCCTCCAAATAAATAGAAAGCTGATACAATGAAGGGAATGCATGACCAAGGTCTGAACAGGTGTGTTCTGTGCAGGTCATAACCCTGGCCAGTGGGAATGTGCCGCACCACACGATCCACACCCAGCCGGTGGGAAAGCAGTTTGACCGAGTGGATGACTTTTTCATTCCCACTACCACACTCCTCATCACCCACATGAGGTAAGTGCTAAACTGGGCGATCGGCTTTACATTTCTCTCTGCTCTAGACAGAAAGCCACGAGAAACTAGAGCAAGCATTTCAATTATACAACCAAGACACACAGATGTGCACGAGTTAGTTTTTTTTTAAATTTATCTTTATTGTTGAATGTATTACAGATGTTCCTCATTTTTCTCCTATTGACCGCCTTTCCCCCACTCCCGCCCCCCTCCTGCCTTTCCCCACACTGTTGTCTGTGTCCACTGCTTCTGCATATATACATATGAGATCTTTTGTTTATCTCTTCTCACCCCCACCCCTCCTTCCCTTTGAGGTTTGTCGGTCTACCAACCAATTTGTACTTCTCAATCCCTTTACCCATTCCCCCAACCCCTCTCCCATATGGCAACCAACAAAATGTTCTCTGTATCTATGAGAATGTTTCTGTTCTGCCTGTTCATTTTGTTTGTAGATTCAATTGTCGATAGATATGTATTCATTGCCATTTTGTTTGTTCATATTTTTTATCTTTTTCTACAAGAAGACCCTTCAACATTTCATATAATAATGGTTTGGTGGTGATGAACTCCTTTAGCTTTTTCTTGTCTGGGAAACTCTTTATATGGCCATCGATTCTAAATGACAGCTTTGCAGGATAGAGTAATCTTGGTTGTAGGTTCTTGCTTTTCAGCACTCTGAATATTTCTTGCCACTCCCTTCTGGCCTGCAAAGTTTCTTTTGAGAAATCAGCTGACAGCCTAATGGGAACTCCCTTGTAGGTAAATAACTGCTTTTCTCTTGCTGCTTTTAAGATTCTCTCTTTGTCTTGAACGTTTTGCATTTTGATGCTGATGTGTCTTGGTGTGGGCCTCTTGGGGTTCATCTTGTTTGGGACTCTCTGTGCTTCCTGGACTTGTATGTCTGTTTCCTTCACCAAGTTAGGGAAGTTTTCTGCCATTATTGTTTCAAACAGGTTTTCAATTTCTTGTTCTCTCTCTTCTCTTTCTGGAACCCCCAAGATGCAAATATTGGTATGCTTGAAGTTTTCCCAGAGGCTCCTTACACTATCCTTATTTTTTTTAATTCTTTTTTCTTTTTGCTATTCTGATTGGGTGTTTTTTGCTTCCTTATATTCCAAATCAATGGTTTGCTTCTTGGCTTTACCTACTCTACTGTTGAATCTGTGTAAATTATTCTTTATTTCAGTTAGTGTCTCCTTCATTTCTGACTGCTACTTTTTTATGCTCTTGAGGCCCTCACTAAGTTTATTGAGGTTCTCACTAAGTTCATTAAGCATCTTTATAAGGAGTGTTTTAAACTATGCATCTGTTAGGTTGCTTATCTCCATTTTGCTTAGTTCTTTTCCTGGAGTTTTGTTCTGTTCTTTCATTTGGGACCTGTTTCTTTGTCACCTCATTTTGGCTGCCTCCCTGTGTTTGTTTCTATGTATTACTTGATGAAAGGTATGGGGCTAACTAAGACCAGATGCTGCTTGTTTGAAAGAATTTAGGAAAAACCTGAAGCAGGATCCAAGACAGGCCAATCCTATGGTAAAGCAACTGGCAACAGCTTGGGTGGGCCTGAATGTTGGGTGGGGCGGGGCCTCAGGGAATCACCAGGGCGGGGCAAACTATGAGCCAAGTTGCTGGAGTCCCAGATATGTTGGCTGTCTGCCACCCTAGGGAAGGGCTCACCAAAGGAACAAAGGCCTCTGACAGCACATTTGTCCCGGAGAAAGCCCCCTCTCCAGCCCTCGCTCCAGTGCCAAACAGCTCAGTTCTTCCCTGTGTGTCTCTGGTGCTCCTCAAGCTGCCTCCCCTCTGAGCTTAGAGGGAGAGAGTCCGATAAGTCCGTGCGCCGGCCCTTTAAGGAGCTGCCTGGGGCTCCAGCTACAGCCTCCCTCGGCCTCAGTTCCCGCTGGTTTTTCCAGCCAGAAGTTATGGGGATTCTCTTCCTGGCACTGGAACCCTGACTGGGGTGCCTGGTGTGGGATGGGGACCCCTCAGTCCTCAGGGAGGACCTTCCCAGCCGAGGTGTCCTCCTGATTTTTATCCGCCACACGTGGGTGTGGGACCAGCCCATCCCCTCCGCCCCTCCTATCAGTCTGGATGTGGCTGCTGCTTTAATTCCGTAGTTGTAGGACTTCCATTCACCTGGATTTCAGGCAGTTCTGAATGATGGTTGTTCTGTAGTTTAGTTGTAACTTTAATGTGGTTGTGGGAGGACGCGATACTGCGTTTACCTACTGGCCATCTTCACGTGCACTGGTTTTGTCTCATGTGCTTGATGAACTCTTATTCATAAATACTAGTGATGAACTTCCTGTCATATATTTCTTTGTAAGCATAATAGAGAAATGAATGTATAAAGATAGAGTTGCATTTTTCTATCTATTTTACAGTTAATATTTTTGCCAATATGCACTAGGGTCTTCTTATTAGGCTTTGGCAAAATGCTGATGATTGAACTTGACTTAATGAAAAAGCCACTCACACAGAAATCTATTTAATACATTGTAATAACATTCGTCATCATTTTTGCCCATTTAGCAATGACTATAGGATCGTACTGGGAAGAATAGTTAAGTTGAAATGAAATGTTTGAGTTCTGCACTTTGAGAAAACGTGTTTCTGGCATGTTCTATCGCTATGTGAAAGGTAGTAATTTCTAGTCACTTCACCCCATTGGCTTATTGAAGCCATTCAAGTGCATAAATGGAGAGACTTCAGATATATTACAATTTCTAGTATTATGTATCTTAATAATTTATTGAAAACATTTAAAAGTATTGCTTAACAATGTTGGTGAATCTAAACCAAACTCATATTTTGATCTCTTTCTCAAGTGAATTCTCATGAGAGGGGACTGCTCGAGATGGGGTATGTGAGTCCTTATTTGATTCTTGTGTATATTTGTTTCCCTTGTATTAAGTTGAAAATTATCTCATCGAAAAGTTGGAGTTGTAAGAATTCTGAAAGTGCAAAATGAAACTTGCAAAGATAACCATGGGGGTCAATAAATCAGAATTGTGGTTCACAGTTAAGACACTATATATAGACTGGTTTTTGTGCAGCCAACTATGTGTTTTCAAAGAGTTTAAAATATTTCTCAATCAGTTGACCATTATTTTCAGGATGCCCATTATGTGCTTAGCAATAAAGTGATTAAAAAATATAAAATCCTGCCCTGGCCAGTTTGGCTCAGTGGTTGAGTGTTGGCCTGCGGACCAGAGAGTCCCGGGTTCGGTTCTTACTAGGGGCATGTACCCCCCCCCCAAAAAAAAGAAAAGAAAATACATAAAATCCTATCATAATTATTACACATTTATATGGACAATAAGTAGAACTGAAAAGTATATTATTTGCATCAAAGTAATAATTTTTAAAGTCTGGCTACAAACGCTATAATAGCTCAGAGATAAAGTAGTCAGCATCTGAACTGAAAATGGTACCACTTGAAATGTTACCTAAAAAAATATATATGTGTTTATACTTATTTAATGAAGATAACATTTTATTTAATTGTCATTGAGTGTTATGGTTAATAAATATTCCTTTGCTATCTTCACACTGTTGATAAGTTATTACTAGTCAATAATTTAGGTGACACACGCTTTTATTTACTCCATTCTATTTCCTGTTACTCTATTTAAAATACTATTATCAGCTTTGATTTTTCTTTTAAAAATTCACTCAATACAATTATTTATGACAGATGTCTGTGGTTATGAAACCAATAGGGTTAACCGTGTATAGTTTTAAGTATTTCTTTTACTGTAAAAGTAAATGGTATCTTATGGTACAATGGCTCCCAGAAGCAGGAGTTTAACTTTGTCTGGATGCAGGAAGGGCTATGTGTAATTCAGTGTTTCTATGTATAATTGATATAATTTCAGAACACAACATCTGTTTAGGGTCAACATGATTATTACCTATCTGAGTTGGAGCTAATAATAATTAGAAGAACATCCACATAATGTGAACACATATAAGGCAAAATTTTATTTCAGTTATTTCTCTCTATATATGAGAAAAACACTGAAAAGTATGCTTAAGGATATTTTTAAATGTCTTTATTTCTTTTGGGGATGTATATGAAATGTATGAGTGTTTTGCCAATACTTGTAAAAATACTACATTAAATTATAACATCCTACCTGCATATAGATCTCATTTTAATGGAAGTGAATGATCAGATTTCCTGTTGCACTTCAAAGTAATTACTCCTGTTACTAAAGTGAAGAGTAAGTGTAAAAATTAACATTCGTTTACAGAAATAAACTGTGAAATATGTAAAGTATTTTTAACATAATGAGGATTTACTCCACATCGGGAGTCTTTTCTCCTACCAATTTCACGTATCATAGTTTTCTAACCAAATTTTACATGTATTTAACTACGTGTTGCTGAGATTGATTTTTTTTTTTTTTTTTTGAGTTGCATTTTTCAGAATTTGAGAATCTTTTCTCACTGCTATACTTGGCATATATTTCCAGGTCACTCAGAAGGTCTGACTCAGAATATACTTTTAATTAATACTGGTTTTCTTCCTCTGACCTCTCTTCCCATTAATCTGTTTTTTTCCCTCAGATGGCTACACCCTCGTTTCAAATAATTTATTTCTTCTATGTCTGAAAATCTCCTGGACAAGTGTCAGAATTTTATACCCTTGGTGCCTAAAAACCTGTAGGCACTTAATTCATGTTTCTCCCAGGAATGGAGATAAAGAAGAGAGAAAGTGCTATACTGTTTCCTAAAGCAGAATATATAGTATCCAGGGGAGAACCATATATCTTACACACCTTGCTGCATTTCTCAGTGTGTAGCACAATAGCAAACATGCAGCCAGCTCCGCATGGGGAGCCCATGAATTGTGTGGAGGCGGTGAACAGCACTAATGAGAACGTACATCTCCTGTCACACAGAGCTAAGCCTGAATGTCCCGGCAACACCATTTGCCATGAGCTCTCGTGGCATTTGCCAGTTTATTTCATTTTTTCCCCTATGCATTGGCATAAAGT